ACGAACTTCCCCCACAACTCACAACTGGCTCTTCCTCACTCCTACAAGATGTTATTCCCCTTGCCCAAAACACAAATGACAGCTTCTCTATCTTCATAAACCCATTTAACAATTCCTCAAAATATTCCCTCCATTTTCCCCAAATTTACCTCTAACTCTCCTTTTTAATAACTCTCCTCTCCTTTTTTTTAAACTGACAAATCCATTTTTTTTCTCTAGGCTTCCTTAACTTGTTAATCTCACTCCCAAAAATTTTTTCTTATTTTCAACAAAATTTGTTGATAACATCTCACCCACTCTCTCATTTCCTCTCTTTTTTACATTGCTTCACCACTCTCTTAACCTCTCTCTTTTTCTCCATATACTCTTCCCTCCTTGCATCACTTCTACTTTGTAAAAACTTCTCATATGCTAACTTTTTTCTCCCTTACTACTCTCTTTACATCATCATTCCACCAAACGCTCCTCTTCCCTCCTGCACCCACTTTCCTGTAACCACAAACTTCCTGCTGAACACTCTAACACTACTTTTTTTAAACCTACCCCATACCTCTTCGACCCCATTGCCTATGCTCCTCATTAGCCCATCTATCCTCCAATAGCTGTTATAAACTTACCCTAACTGCCTCCTCTTTTTAGTTTATAAACCTTCACCTCTCTCTTCCCTTCTATTCTCCTTGTATCCCATCTACCTTTCACTCTCAGGTAGCTACAACTAGAAAATGATCTGATGTATCTGTGGCCCCTCTAAAAACATGTCATCCTGAAGTCTACCAACAGTCTTTTATCTACCAATACATAATCCAACAAACTACTGTCATTCGCCCTACATCATGTCTTGTATACTTATTTATCTTCTTTTTCTTAAATAAAGTATTACCTATAAAAACTTCCCTTTTCTATACAAAGTTCAATTCAAAGGGCTCCCATTATCATTTAACACCTGGGACCACCCCAAACTTACCTCACCACACCCTCTCTAAAAGTTTCTCCTACTTCAGCATTCAGGTCCCCTACCACAATTACTCTCTCACTTGGTTCAAAGGCTCCTATACATTCACTTAACATCTCCCAAAATCTCTCTCTCTCCTCTACATTCCTCTCTTCTCCAGGTGCATACACGCTTATTATGACCCACTTCTCGCATCCAACCTTTACTTTAATCCACATAATTCTTGAATTTACAACATTCATATTCTCTTTTCTCCTTCCATAACTGATCCTTCCAACATTACTGCTACCCCTTCCTTTGCTCTAACTCTCTCAGATACTCCAGATTTAATCCCATTTATTTCCCCCCACCGAAACTCCCCTACCCCCTTCAGCTTTGTTTCGCTTAGGGCCAGGACATCCAACTTCTTTTCATTCATAACATCAGCAATCATCTGTTTCTTGTCATGCGCACTACATCCACGCACATTTAAGCATCCCAGTTTTATAAAGTTTTTCTTCTTCTCTTTTTAGTAAATGTCTACAGGAGAAGGGGTTACTAGCCCATTGCTCCCGGCATTTTAGTCGCCTCATACGACACGCATGGCTTACGGAGGAAAGATTCTTTTCCACTTCCCCATGGACAATAGAAGAAATAAAGAGGAACAAGAGCTATTTAGAAAAAGGAGAAAAACCTAGATGTATGTATATAATATATGCATGTGCGTGGTCTGTGAAGTGTGACCAAAGTGTAAGTAGGAGTAGCAAGATATCCCTGTTATCTAGCGTGTTTATGAGACAGAAAAAGAAATATATATATATATATATATATATATATATATATATAATATATATATATATATATATATATTATATATAAATATATATTATATATATATTTATAATATATATATATATATGTATGTATTTGTGTGTGTGTGTGTGTGTGTGTGTGTGACAGACGTGGATATTCAACTGTTTCTCTCCTTCTTTATTATTTTTCTATATTGTCTTCCTCCCGTGTTCCTCTTCTCTCTGTCTCTCTACCTCCCACCTTCTCTTCCGTCTTCTGCTTGATATAAAATCCCATTTATTGTATTTCCCACTTACACATTTCTTTTTACGCTCTCTCTCTCTCTCTCTCTCTCTCTCTCTCTCTTTCTCCTTCATCTCCCTATCTCTCACATTCCTTTTTTTGGTAATTCTCTCTCTCTCTTCCTTGCTTTCTTTTCTCATTCCATATCTCTCACCCTCCCTCCACTCCCTCCCTCCCTCCCTCCTCCCTCCCTCCCTCCCTCCCTCCCTCCCTCCTCCCTCCCTCCCTACAAGACTACACCGTCATTCACCGTAATTTTCCCTGTGACAGGGAAAATAGTCGGGAATTTTTCCCTTTTCTTCAGGGAAGAAAGAGGAAAAGATAAATGTTCCTCTTGTTGTTCAGCCTGTCAGGTCCAGCTGTGTGGCACTCTGTGTGTGTGTGGCACTCTGTGTGGTGTGGCACTCTGTGTGTGTGTGGCACTCTGTGTGTGTGGCACTCTGTTGTTGTGTGGGGACTCTGTGTGTGTGTGGCACTCTTGTTGTGGTGGAACTCTGTGTGTGTGTGGCACTCTGTGTGTGTGTGGCACTCTGTGTGTGTGTGGACTCTGTGTGTGTGTGGCACTCTGTGTGTGTGTGGCACTCTGTGTGTGTGTGTGGCCCTCTGTGTGTGTGTGGCACTCTGTGTGTGTGTGGCACTCTGTGTGTGTGTGGCACTCTGTGTGTGTGTGGCACTCTGTGTGTGTGTGGCACTCTGTGTGTGTGTGGCACTCTGTGTGTGTGTGTGGCCCTCTGTGTGTGTGTGGCACTCTGTGTGTGTGTGGCACTCTGTGTGTGTGTGGCACTCTGTGTGTGTGTGGCACTCTGTGTGTGTGTGGCACTCTGTGTGTGTGGCACTCTATGTGTGTGGCACTCTGTGTGTGTGTGGCACTCTGTGTGTGTGTGGCACTCTGTGTGTGTGGCACTCTGTGTGTGTGTGGCACTCTGTGTGTGTGTGGCACTCTGCGTGTGTGGCACTCTGTGTGTGTGTGGCACTCTGTGTGTGTGGCACTCTGTGTGTGTGGCACTCTGTGTGTGTGTGGCACTCTGTGTGTGTGGCACTCTGTGTGTGTGCGTGGCCCTCTGTGTGTGTGTGGCACTCTGCGTGTGTGTGGCACTCTGTGTGTGTGGCACTCTGTGTGTGTGGCACTCTGTGTGTGTGGCACTCTGTGTGTGTGGCACTCTGTGTGTGTGGCACTCTGTGTGTGTGCGTGGCCCTCTGTGTGTGTGGCACTCTGTGTGTGTGCGTGGCCCTCTGTGTGTGTGTGTGGCCCTCTGTGTGTGTGGCACTCTGGGGTGTGGCACTGTGTGTGTGGCACTGTGTGTGTGACACTGTGTATGTGTGTGTGTGACACTGTGCCTCCTGTTTGCCTCTTCTGTTATTTCTGTTGTTACTTCCTGCTATTTCTGTTTTCTTCCCCACGTTACTGTTGTCGCCACTGTTATCATTACTGTTGTCGCCACTGTTATCATTACTGTTGTTGCTACTGTTATCGGTACTGTTGTTATTACTATTGTTGCTACTGTTATCAGTATACTGTTGTTACTGTTGTCGCCACTGTTATAAGTACTGTTGTTGCTACTGTTATTAGTACTGTTATTGTTAGTGTTATCAGTACTGTTGCTTCTAGTGTTGTCAGATATACCTTTCATATACCTTTGATGGGTTTTGAGAATCTTACTCCCGGAGCCCGGCCATGGGCTAGGCTCGTCTGATGCTAGCCTAGTCAACCAGGCTGTTGCTGCTGTTAGCCCTCCGACCCACATATCCGTCACAGCCTGGCTGATCTGGCACCTTCCCAGCAGTGATTCTGATTTCTTGTGGTGAAATGATGAAGAGTCTGGGGCCACGGATGTTGATACAATGTTCCCTTACTGTGCCCATGGCGCCCCTGCTCTTTATTGGGTTTATTTTGCACTTCCTCCCACATCTAATCAGTACTGTTGTTGCTACTGTTAGCAGTACTGTTGTTGTTACTGTTGATGCTACTGTTATCACCACTGTTACTTCCTAGATACCTCAAGGTTGGAATATAGAAACTCCCTTGTACAAAACGGAAATCTTTGTATTATACACAATACAAGTACCTTAAAAGACACTCGTATATGCACCGTACACGCATACACAACTATACACCACAGTTATACACAACCAATACACTTTCCAGCGGGCTATTTTCACTCGGTATGTATATTGTGGCGAGGATAATAAGTCTCTGTCTATCAGATAGACAGTTTCTCGGACAGATAGGCAGTCTCTCGGATAGACAGACAGCCTCTCGGACAGATAGACAGTCTCTCGGACAGACAGACGGTCTCTCGGATAGCTAGAAAGTCTAACCACGATACGGGGTTGGATTGAACTCGCGGCGATTGAGTCGTAAAACTCCAGACCGGCGCGTTAGCCACTGGGCCAGTTAGCTACAATAAGATTCATCCAGCTAGGTATATTTATACAACATAGGAAGGTTAGATAGGCCACCACTGTAACCACAAATGCAAGTTTTTACAGATGAGACTACCACCAGAGTGGTTGTGACGAACTCTAGCTCAGGTCCCCTCAAAGCAGTCATCATAACTCACGAAATCGTAATGACACGATTGGAAACAAACCAAACCACGGGCGGGGCTTGAACTCGAGTTCAATCCCCGCCTGTACTGTGGATTGAATTCGAGTTCAATCCCCGCCCGTACTGTGGATTGAACTCGAGTTCAATCCCCGCCCGTACCGTGAGTCATGACAGTCTCACGGATGCCTAGAGAGGCGCGAGAGATTCTATCCTGTACATGTCATCGGGAACTGACCTCTAGCCGGACGAATGAGGCTAAAAATCATACAAATTTATATATAAAAATAAAATAAATATATACACATCTCGGATGCAAAAAAATAGAAAAAAACATACATACACATCCCGGCCACGAACAGTACAAAAAAATCATTCATACGCATCCCGAATGCAAAAAAAAAAATCATTCATACGAACCCCAGATGCGAAAAAAATCATACATACGCATTCCGGATGCGTAAAATTACAATCGTGTACATTGTGCGGGTGAAAAAATTACTCAAACATGTATATACGAGGGAATGAAAACCAGTGATATTCATCCACAAAACCGGAGGTGCGTCAGGCCAGGAGCTGCATCCTTTGTTAAGCGAGACGTTTAATTGACCTTGAAGGTCACTTGGAGATCTTGAAGGTTATTTGAAGACCTTGAAGGTCATTTGGAGACCTTGAAAATACCTTGGAGACGTTGAAGGTCACTTGGATACCTTAAAAATCCCTTGGAGACCTTGAAGGTCACTTGGAGACTTTGAGGTCCACTTGGAAACCTTGAAGACCACTTGGAGACATTGTAGATCACTTGGAGATCTTAAAGGCCACTTGGAGACAATAAATATCACTTGGAGACACTAAAGATCACTTGGAGACCTTAAAGGCCACTTGGAGACACTGAAGATCACTTGGAGACTTTAAAGGCCACTTGGAGACACTGTAGATCACTTGGAGACACTAAAGATCACTTGGAGATCTTGAAGATCATTTGAAGATAATGAAGATCACTTGTATCCGCTTAGAGACCTTGAAGGCCACTTAGAGACACTGTAGATCACTTGAAGACCCTGAAGACCACCGGAGACTCTGAAGACCACAGGAATCCTTGAAGACCACTGAGGCCTTGAAGACCACTGAAATCCTTGAAGATCACTGTGACCTTGAAGTCCACTGGAAACCCTGAAAACCACTTGAATCCTTGAAGACCGCTGGAGACCCTGAAGATCACTGGAATCCTTGAAGACCACTGAGACCTTGAAGACCATTGGAGACCCTGAAGATCACTGGAATCCTTGAAGATCACTGAGACGTTGAAGAACACTGAGATCTTGAAGACCACTGAGATCTTGAAGACACTGGAGACCTTGAAGACCCCTAGAGATCTTGAAGACTCAGGTCAGGTGTCCTCGCAGGGGTGGTCATGAGAGGTCGAGGCTAGCCAGTGGGTCCTTACACCTTCCTATCTCTCTCCACCAGGCTGGGATGTCTACCTGCGTCGCTACTTCGAAGTCCCGGTGAGCCTTGAGACACAATTCGCAGAGCGGTGGCCTCAGCGTGGCCCTCCAGAATCCCCGCCAAAGGTGGAACTTCGAGTACTCTTCAGGGGAAGCCTCAAGCTCCCTGAGGATCATCCCCAGCTCCCTGGGGTGTAGACCCTGGGCGTTGATGTAGGAATGTGGGGGGAGGAACTTGGAGTAGTCAGCGCCTCCCAGAACGACCGGCACGACCCCGTGAAGGAGAGGCCTCCATAGCTTTTCAGTGATGTAGTCGTCGCAAGCTGAGTTTTCGAAGGCCAGGTAGAAGAGGTACTTCGGAGCGAGGATTTTGCGCCAGCAGGTGTCGTTCCGGTGCTGCCGCCGTTCCCCACACCTGTAATAAAAAAATATATGTATATATACACTTGCACGAATCACTAAATCCTTCTTGGTCGTTCATAAATAACTCACACAAGCTCAAAAGAAATGTTAAGAAATATTTCTTTCACGTTGGTGTATAATCTATTATCACCCCACCTGTTCACCCCACCTGTTCTTCCCACCTGTTCTCCCCACCTGTTCTCACCACCTGTTCTCCCCACCTGTTCTCACCACCTGTTCTCACCACCTGTTCTCACCACCTGTTCACCCCACCTGTTCTCCCCACCTGTTCTCCCCACCTGTTCTCATCACCTGTTCTCACCGCCTGTTCTCCCCACCTGTTCATCCCACCTGTACTCACCACCTGTTCTCCCCACCTGTTCACCCCAACTGTTCACCCACACTTATTCTCCCCACCTGAACCACCAAAGTAAACATCTGAACACCTGCGTGCACTTGTGTTCGGATACACGCACCTGAGCGAGCCACACCTGCCGTACACGTCCACGGACACGTACTTCTGCAGGTGGGCCACATACTCCTCCCTCCTAGATGGCACGTGGCAGTGGGAGGCCATCCACGCCACCAGCCGCGGCCGCCTCAGGAACGCCTCCCATGCCTCCCCCACGCCATCTGTTGAGAGAAAAAACAACTGAAACAGAAGCACACACGTCACAATACATAATAATAATAATAATAATAATAATAATAATAATAATAATAATAATAATAATAATAATAATAATAATAAGTGTGCGTTCGTACACTTGAACAAATCGGAACCCCAACAATTTCGTTCAGAGAAAAAAAAACTGGCCCGGATTTTCGAACGCTTTTTCTGGGGTCCGAACGCTCTGACTTGTCCAAAATTAAGTTGTAAAAAAAAAAATCTTTACAGGAAAGCCGTGTTTCGAAAGTGCTTTGAAGTGACCTCTGACACTGACCTGACTCTCAGAGACTTTTGGAAGAGTCAGTTTAACTTCCTCCAGTGTGTTTGTGGCTGATATTTAAAGCCTGGAAAACGCTGTTTCGGACATCGAGCTTTTCGCAGTTCGAACACCACATAGAAACCAATTAGGTTCAACATCGGGGTTCCACTGTGTTTGGATTCATGTGGAATTCATTCCAATTATTCTTCTGAAGGGGTTCAATTTCAATTCGCATCAGTGAACCGGATAATCTTAAAGGTTGGGATTTACTTGAGATTATGCGAAGAGTGGTTTAAATCTGGGTTTCTGGTACGGCAGCCGGTTCTTGGTACTCCAGAACCATCATCGCACTCCAGAACCGTCGTTTCTGGTACGGCAGCCGGTTCATGGTACTCTAGTACCATCATTTCTGGTACGGCAGCCGGTTCATGGTACTCTAGTACCATCATTTCTGGTATGGCAGCCGGTTCATGGTACTCTAGTACCATCATTTCTGGTACGGCAGCCGGTTCATGGTACTCCAGTACCATCATTTCTGGTATGGCAGCCGGTTCATGGTACTCTAGTACCATCATTTCTGGTATGGCAGCCGGTTCATGGTACTCTAGTACCATCATTTCTGGTATGGCAGCCGGTTCATGGTACTCTAGTACCATCATTTCTGGTACGGCAGCCGGTTCATGGTACTCCAGTACCATCATTTCTGGTACGGCAGCCGGTTCATGGTACTCCAGTACCATCATTTCTGGTATGGCAGCCGGTTCATGGTACTCCAGTACCATCATTTCTGGTATGGCAGCCGGTTCACTGTACTCGAGAACCATTTCCCAGCCTTTTGAAGGTTCCCCTTTGTCGAGGAGAGTGACAGTGAAGTATTCCTCTTGATGATTCAATTCATCTCTCAATTCATCTCTCAATTCATCTCACAATTCATCTCTCAATTCATCTCACAATTCATCTCTCAATTCATCTCACAATTCTGCTGACAGTCCTGTAGCACATTTCTTTACCTGAGTGAAGCGTTCCTCTTAAATGAATTTGTTGATCATACACTCTGGAATTTTTTCTGCAATCGTCCTTGGATAGTCTGCGAAGTTTCAAGTCGTTTCAGTGGTTGGTGTGGTTGTTTTAGTGGTTGGTGTGGTCGTTTCAGTAGTTGGTGTGGTCGTTTCAGTGGTTGGTGTGGTCGTTTCAGTAGCTGGTGTGGTCGTTTTAGTGGTTGTTTCAGTGGTTGGTGTGGTCGTTTCAGTATGTTGGTGTGGTCGTTTCAGGGGTTGGTGTGGTCGCTTCAGTGGTTGGTGTGGTCGTTTCAGTGGTTGGTGTGGTCGTTTTAGTTGATGTATTCGTTTCAGTAGTTGGTGTGGTCGTTTCAGTGGTTGGTGTGGTCGTTTCAGTAGTTGGTGTGGTCGTTTCAGTGGTTGGTGTGGTCGTTTCAGTATTTGGTGTGGTCGTTTTAGTTGTTGGTGGGGTCGTTTTAGTGGTTGGTGTGGTCGTTGTAGTGGTTGGTGTGGTCATTTCAACGGTTGGTGTGGTCGTTTCAGTAGTTGGTGTGGTCGTTTTAGTGCTTGATGTGGTCGTTTCAACGGTTGGTGTGGTCGTTTTAGTGCTTGATGTGGTCGTTTCAACGGTTGGTGTGGTCGTTTCAGTAGTTGGTGTGGTCGTTTTAGTGGTTGGTGTGGTCGTTTCAGTAGTTGGTGTAGTCGTTTCAGTGGTTGTTATAGTCATTTCAAGGGTTGGTATAGCCAATATTATGTCTTGGTGTGGTAGAGTCAACCACACAAGCTGGGCATATACATACAACATAAGGTGTATGCCTCTCAGTGTACATACGCTGAGAGTTCACCTTAAGACAGCCTTGAAGGGTGGTCAGCAGGTGATATGCAATCTTAAATGGCCCTCGTATAGACGATCAGCTTTAGATCCCCGTTAACCAGCACTACAGAATTAACAATTGCTAAATGGTTAGAAGTTATAAAGAGTGCTTCAGGCCTGTTTCCTGAATGCTAGGAGTACTAGTACTGATAGTTTACCTGCGCCTTCTTGCTGGCTTTAGAGCTCATTGGGGACATAACATATAACACGCATAGCCATTAGTTAACTGCCATCTTGATCGAGGTTTAGTTTACGCGAGCACGTAAGGCGGGGCTCGATACGGCGTACGCTGTCAGTGGCCCTATGAACAACAACAACAACTACATGACTACTACTACTGATAGTTTGGTGCGAGTTTGCGAGCTCAATTTTGACGCTGTCAGGGATGAATACTGGGGATCAGTCAGTGTTTGGGGGCGTACAAGCCGATGTCTCTGTCAGCACATTTTCATCGTCACCTGTCCTTGTTGTCTATCTCATGAGAGACGTGTCCTTCTCAGTGTTATAGATTGAGACACAAACACATGACTCTTTGTGTATATACACTGACACACACACACACACACACACACACACACACACACACAAACACGCCTCTCTGTGTATATACAATAAGAGACACACACGCCTCTCTATGTATATACCCTGAGACATGCACCTATATTGGTGTATGGACACTGAAAAACACACCTTTCAGTGTACATACACTGAGAGACACAAATATACACTCGCACACACATCTAAGTGTATATCCACTTAGTGACACATACCACTCTGTATATATACACTAAGAGCAAACATTATCTCTCAGTCCACGGCAGAATTCTAACCTACACACTCTGCATCACAGTACGTAGTACCTTCACTCGGCCAGATCGCAGCCGAGTGAAGGTACTACGTACTTTGATACAGAGTGTGTAGGTTCGAATCCTGCTGTGGACTGAGAGATAATATTTGTAAATAATGGCGCCTGTTTGCGAATTGTTAAGCAATACACTAAGAGGCAATTTACCTTTCCCTCCTAACCGTCCCCCAATTCCTCTCCCTCAGTTTCTTCCATCCTGCTAGCCAGACTGTTCACTCACCTTCATCTCTCTCAACGAAGGGGCTCCACGAAGCACCCATCACCTCCTCCAGAGAGGAGCCTCGATCCAGAGCTCTCAGGTAGGCCTTGTAGGCTGGACTAGGGATATCCAACAGGGCAGGGCGCAGAGGAGGGGTCGGGGGATGAGGGTCATGAACCTGCCGAAGAGCCTGTGGAACCCCAGTCTGCGGAAGAGCCTTTGGGGCCCCAGCCCGCAAGAGGTCTTTTGGGGCCCCTGAAACCTGAAGCTTCCGCGGGATCAGTCCCCCGTAGGGTTCCATGATCTGGGAGGCGGAATGGTAGGTCATGGTCCAGTTGAAGAGACCACTCAGCTCACCAGAATGGTCCAGCACCAGTCTTTTCTGAAAGAATAAGTTGATTTAGTCGCTGCTGCTGCCTATGGGTATCGATAGATATCGATAGATATCGCCTGGGGGTACAACATCCCTTTCCTTGGATCAAACCTGAGTGCCTACCACTCCCCAGGTAGCTCTATGACCCCTACGAGTTTAGTCCCTCCAAATAATAATTATAATAATAATAATAATAATTATTATTATTATTATTATTATTATTATTATTATACCTGTTTCTACATCTATAATTGCAAAAAGAATATAATGGAGAATGTTTGCTCTGATTATAACCAGGGGGAAAGCCCTAAATCCGCAGGGATCATACAGCTCCAGGGACATTGGAGGCAATCAGGTTTGATCCGAGGAGAGATGAAGGTAGATCCATTTCCCAGGATCATACTTGATGATAGGATCATTCATACTCAAGCAGCATTATTACTAATTATTAACATTATTATTATTATTATTATTATTATTATTATTATTATTAACTAGTAGTGGCAATTAATAATAATTATTATTAATAATAATTACTATTAATTATTAATTATTATTACATAAAAACAAGCGCTCAACCCGTTAAGGGAGGAAGTAGAGTGAGAAAACAAACTTTTTGATGCCAAGAGAGCTCTTGATCCGGGGAACTGGAGCTACCCTACCTTTCCTTGGATCAAGCCTGATTACCTCCCAGTCTTTAAGTGCTGTATGACCCCCCTACGAATTTAGTGCTTTAAATAATTTATTCCACACATACACACACACAGGAAAATCGACCTGACGACACTGGAAGACAGGAGAGAGAGGGGGATGTGATAAGGACAAATAAAATACTAAGAGGAATCGACAAGTTGGACAGAGACAGAATGTTCCAGAGATGAGACACAGCAACAAGGGGACACAGTTGGAAGTTGAAGACCCAGATAAATCACAGGTCTGTTAGGAAATATTTCTTCAGTCACAGAGTTGTCAAGAAGTGGAATAGTCTGGGAAGTGGTGTAGTGGAGGCAGAATCCATACATAGCTTTAAGAAGAGGTATGATAAAGCTCATGGAACAGGAAGAGTGACCTAGCAGCGACCAGTGAAGAGGCGGGGCCATGAGCTATGAATCGACCCCTGCAACCACAATTAGGTGAGTACAATTAGGTGAGTATATATATATACACACACACACACACACACACACACACACACACACACACACACACACACAGATGCTAGGCACTAGCATCTGGTCTGAGGCTGACATCAGTAGAATAACATCTGCAGATATCTGACGCTTGTGTTTTCCCATCTAAGAGTAGCCTTCAATAATCTTAATAAATATTCATCCATAAGCCTATATATGGCATCTGGCAGGCCCATCTAGGAATAAGAAGCAGCAGTATACAGCCAGCACTTGATAAACAATGTTAAGAACATCAGAAAGTGCATAAGTATTCAACAAAACTAGTACCATTGCTAAGGAAAACGAGCTATGAGAAGAGGTAATGAATATGACAACGTTAGAGGGGGGGGAGAAACAGGGAAGACATAATAACAACATACAAAATACTCTGAGGACGTGCTGGAGCAGATAGAGATGGACTGCTCGAGAGGCAGGAATGAAGGGGTAAAGAGGAATTATAGTTTTCACAGTAGGTATGTATTTTTGAGGCTGTAGAGTGAAAGGTATAGTTTCTTTAGTCCCCGCTCCTCTAACGTCAGAGTGGTCCGTATTCCAACGCCATCTATGTGCTGGTCTTCGTATATTTGATTTCCTCTCTGGGTCTTTTCCTTGTCTTCTCTTAGTTTCATTGTTTACTGTCACACCGGAGTGAGTGAGCTGACCACTTCACCTACACTCTCTCCACGCAGGATATATATATGTACTCAGAAAAGTACATTTCTCTGGAGGCCTATCCAGTTTCAGGTATTAAAGTATTCTTATCTGGTAGTGAAAAAAGCTACGTGCAGCCTTAATGACCTTTGAGTAATCGATAGGCTTGAAACCCCATTAGCCAACCAACGCTCTCCTGACATCCTGTTTGGATTCAAATTCAAATTTGTATTTCTCTTTGCTGTACAAAAATAATTTGTTACATGTAGTAAAAACATCGTTAAGCACAACAGAAAGCCACTATTATGCGATTTATCTGCAAAATTGATTATTAGTATGTACTCGTCTATATGTGGTTGCAGGGGTTGATTCACAGCTCCTGGCCCCGTCCCCTTCGCTGGCCGCTGTTGCAGTTTCACTATTTATGGTCGTAGGGTAATTATCATGGGTATCCCCGTCCTTGCAGCTCCTGGGCGGTGCAAAGTGTAAATTTAAATCCGGTAACATGTGTGGGGTTCAAACCACACACGTTCCGTGGTCTTTGTAGTGGACCCTCATAAAGGAACAGTCCATCCTGTTAACAATATTTTACTGCTGCCAGGACAGTCAAATGGGCGACTGTTCACGAGCCTTGAACAGTAATTATGTATTTTCCAGTTCCCTCAGTGAGTCTGTATTTCCTTTTCACGTTTGCAAACTTTTTTTTATTGCCTTTATTATTTATTTCATTTATTGGCGTTGTGGTATGTTACATATATTTTTTTTAAATAAACGACACTTAACCTAATCTAACATAAATAACGTAAATCTAGAAATCTGATGAATGTTGAGTGAGAGAATTCGAGAGAATCTGCGAGGGTGTGAGTGGGTGTATATGTGGGTGTGGGTGGGTGTATATGTGGGTGTGGGTGGGTGTATGTGTGGAGGGGTGAGAGTGAGTGTAGTGTTTACCTCCCTAGACTCAAGGAGGCTGAATGACACATTCTTCACAAGGGTGTACGAAGTATTTCTGCCAGAGAGTGGTCAGCAAGTGGACGAAGCAGTAAAGGAGTAACCCCCTGTCTAGTTTTAGGAATATGTATGGTAGGACCCACAAAGCTAGGGAAGAGTACACAGCAAGTGGTAAGAAGCAGGGCCAGGAGCTGAGACTCGACCCCTGCGACTATGAGACATATATACACACACGTACACGTACGTACATGAGGATGGTGGAGCCTGGAGAAAGCTTTAGAGGACGCTGGTGGAGCCTCAACGTGCACCCACACCCACCTCTGGTCTGAAGGACGACTTCCCTCAGGCAGGTCCTCTGCTCGCACGCCCTCAGACTGTGTGGAGGAGGCAGGTGTCGTCAGGGAGAGGAAGAGTGGAAGAATGATGGAGAGAATGTCAACTGGAGGGAGAGTACCTGGGCAACACACCACCTTACAACCTCCTCTGCAACACAACACCTCCCGACCCCCTCTGCAACACACCTCCCGACCCCCCTGTGCACCTCACGACTCCCTCTGCAACACAGCACCTCACGACTCCCTCTGCAACACAGCACCTCACGACTCCCTCTGCAACACAACACCTCCCGACCTCCTCTGCAACACAGCACCTCACGACTCCCTCTGCAACACAGCACCTCACGACTCCCTCTGCAACACACCTCACGACTCCCTCTGCAACACAACACCTCCAGACCCCCTCTGCAACACACCTCCCGACCCCCCTCTGCAACACAGCACCTCACGACTCCCTCTGCAACACAGCACCTCACGACTCCCTCTGCAACACCACCTCACGACTCTACAACACACCATTTCGTGACCCCCCCCCACTGCAACCAACCACTTCGTGACCCTGCAACCCACCACCTCATTACCCTGCAACACAGCACCTCATGACCCCTGCAACACACGACCACTACAACACCATTTCACCACCCTCTCTACAATACCACCTCACGACCTCCCCCCCCCAACACCTCATCGCCTCACGACCCCTCTACAATAAAGTTGACATTCCTAATGAAACAGTTTGCCCGGCTGGAACATGAAATGTCTCCCCCAATTCACGTCAATGTAATTTGCTACGCCACACGGGCAGAAAGGGCAACACACACACCCTTTATTGGGTAATTAAATCCATGCCTATTAACATCTATTTACATTTAATTAGAACGTAAGACCGGAGGAATACTGCAGCAGGCCTAATGGCCCATACCAGGCAGGTCCTTCTCAAACACAAATCCACTAACAAAAATATTTGCTCAACCCAAGTTTTAAATTCGTTTTAAATGTCATCTATATTATTTTCTGCGATGTGTAGCCGCGATGGAAAATTCTTAATTACCAGGAAAAAAAATATCTTTGCTTTTTCGGTTGCCTTCAGGTTAGGTTCACCTCCCTGGATTAAGAGCCCTCCACCAGTAGAACCAAGGTTGATAAATGAGAGACTTGTGTAACATCAGTCTTGATAGACTGTGTATATCAACTCTAGGCTGAGGGACTGTTTACCTCAACCTCCTCCTCATCTTCCATCTTTCTCTACATTGGACTGAAGAAGCCACTGGCTGGTGAAACGTTTCCAGAATAAAGATTCCCAAATGTTGCATAAGTGTCTCATTTATCAACTTGTTGGTTTTCCAAACCATTTATTCACAGGACCAAAGTTTCTTTTTGAAGTGTTTCTTACCTGGAAGAGGACCAGGGCGGCCTCCGGTAGCCTCGAACGATCGTGGGTGAACTCGCATCGTGTCTCGGGGCAGTGGGAGCCTTCCAGGTTCACGCCCCCTCGCAGACGCCCCCACCACGCCCTCCTGAACCATGATGTCCAAAAAAGAACCACCTTGGGGTTCTCCTCTTGCCTTGGCCTCACCAGCTGCCGAAGGAGGCGTAGGAGCGTTGCGGAGAACTCTCTCTTGTTGACTACCGCCACGCCTCTGGGGACGTCCTCGTAGTAGTCGTAGTTGATGTGGTCGTCGAGTCTGCTGAAGTAGTCGTCGAGGGTGGTTCCTACGGCAGTGTAGAGGCTCCTGGCGGCGAGGTAGCAGGGGGGCAATGCTAGGTACACACACGCCAGGCCCAAGTACAGCAACACGCGCTTCCTGATTCTGGCCATCACCAACAGACTGACTATTCAGGGACCGAGGGAGCCGCCAGTAGTATTGAACCTTGATACACTCCTTGTGGGCTGAATGACCCACACGGATTTACCGCTTCGTGGACTACACCACACTAACACAACAATCAGATATCCACAGGATTTTTAGGTCCCTTCAAAATCCTTACTGCACCTCGTTTATCCAGAGCTTGCTGACTTTTCTCCTATTCTCTCGCATATCCTATCCAGCCAGACTAAAACTGGGGTCACCAGTGTTGACCTCACATCTTCCACCGTCCAGCCAGTATGGGGTAGTGTCCTGGGTCGATGTTTTGATCCGTGTTGAACCGTCAAGTGACGTACGCTTAAGTTCATTCCTGGCAAGCAAGACTTGAAACCTCAACACACGACCAACTTGAAGTTGCTTCAGCAAGATGGAACTTGTATTGATTTATGCACATTGTTTTTCACTGCCTGTTACCTGTATCGTGAAGGAAATGAATAATAGAGAAATGAGTTGTATCCTGAGTATGTATTATTTTGTCCAATTTTTTACCATTTTATCAAATTAGAAATTCGTTCTCTCTCTCTCTCTCTCTCTCTCTCTCTCTCTCTCTCTCTCTCTCTCTCTCTCTCTCTCTCTCTCTCTCTCTCTCTCTCTCTCTCTCTCTCATTGCAGAATAACATTGCGGTGACGTCATACGGTCGATGCCAGTGACGTCACTGCAGTTCGATAGCACTAGGGCGACGCGTTTGTTTATAGCAGGATTTCCCCTCCCCTCACCACCCCTTCCCCTCCCCTCACCACCCCTTCCCGTCCTCTCACCACCCTTCCCCCTCCCCCACCACCTCTATCTCCCATTGCCACCACCCTTATATGGTACGTACTCACATAGATGTGGTTGCAGGGGTCGAGTCTCAGCTCCTGGCCCCGTCTCTTGCCACTCCAGATTCAATCGTAGCCTCGGGGGACCTATCGTACCTGCTCTTAAAACTGTGTGTGGAGTCTGCCTCCACCGCTTCCTCACCAAGATCATTCCATTTACCGACCACACTGAGACTGAAAAAGTACTTCCTGACATCCCTGTGGCTCCTCTTTGACAACTTCCAGCTGTGCCCCCGAGTTCCTGTTTTTTCTCTCTCCTTATTTATCCCTGTCTACCTTATCATTTTTCTTAAGTATTTTATATGTTGTTATCATGTCTCCCCTGGTTCTTTTGTCCTCCAGTGTCGTTAAATTGAATCCCTTAGCTTTTCGTCATAGTTCATAGATCTTAGCTCAGGAATAAACCTTGCTGCATACTGCCTCACTTTTTCCAGTTTCTTAACATACTTTTTCAGATGCGGGTTCCATACTGGTGCTGCGGACTCCAAGATGGATCTCACGTATGTGTAAAGGGCCTGAAATGACTGTTAGGATTTCTGAAGGCTACTTTTAGATTTGCTAGACGAACACTGACTGCAGAGGTTACCTGGAGAGAGTTCCGGGGGTCAACGCCCCCGCGGCCCGGTCTGTGACCAGAATCGACTGATGTGAGCCTCTGGTGATATACTGGTCACTATGCTCACCCCTAGATCTTTGATCGAGGTCTGTCTTCCTAGTCTGTACCTCGTTCCCGCTTTGGCTTCTTCCCCAATCTTCATAATCTTGCATTTACCGGGGGTTGAATTCAAGCAGCCACTTATCTGACCATTCTTGTGCAATTTCCTCAAAATTTTTGTTCATTTCTACCAAAAAAAAAATCAATATTTATGAAATATTTCCATAATTCTTTCAAAATTTCTATCAAAAGTTCTTTCACAATTTCTATATTTTTTTTTCAAAATTTCTAAAAAATTTCACAATTTCTATCAAAAATTCTTTCAAAATTTGTATTTTTTTTTTTTTTTTTCAAAATTTCCTATTAAAATTCTTTCAAAATTTCTATCAAAAAATTTTCACAATGTCTACCAATTTTTTAAATTTCTATCAAAAAATTCTTTCAAAATTTCTTTCAAATTTCACAATTTCTATCAAATTCTTTCACAGTTTTATTCATAATTTAAAAATATATTTTTTCGTCCCATGACAACCCTCTTCATATGTCTAAGGCGAGACTGTCTCGTCTCTCTTACGAGCCATAACTCTAGTCTCACAGATTTCCAGCGCTTCGAAAACTGTCGCTAACTATGATCTCGCTTTTCTGCTCGGCGACACCCGATTTGCTTTTTTTTCTTACTTTCCTGTGATTTTTTTTCTGATTTCCGCTATATTAGTTGTTTCACGTGAGATTAGAGTAAGTACCCCCCGGCTCGTCTGAGTACATCTTAGCTCGTCTGAGGACCTCCTATTTCTTCTGGCATTTCCCTTTGGCCCGGGTCTGTAATTTCCCTCCCCCCTCTCCTTTTTGTAATTCCTTGGGCTCGTTTGGGGCACTTCTTTTGCTCTCTGGGATTTCCTGGCTCGGTGAGTATTTCCTTGGGCCGGTTGGGTACTTCTTGGCTCGCCGGGACCTTGGGTCGCCGGGGATCCCCGGCTCGTTTCCCTTTGGGTCACCGGGCATCTCCCTGGCTCTTCCTTGGCTCTCCTGGGCATCCCCTGGCTCGTTTCTTGGCTCTCCGGCATTCCCGCTCGTTTTTTTGACTCTCCGGGGATCTCCTTGGCTGCCCGGGCATCTCCCTGACTCGTTTTCCCTTGGGCCCCCCGGCTCTCCCTGACTTGTTCCTGGCTCCCTGGGGATTCCCTGCTCGTTTCCCTTTGGGTCTCCGGGCATCTCCCCGGGCTCGTTCCCCTTTGGGTCGCCTGGCATCTCCCCGACTTGTTTCCTTTGGGTCGCCTGGGCATCTCCCCGAATCTTCCTTTGGTCGCCTGGCATCTCCCCCCGTTTCCTTGGGTCTCCGGCCCCCCTTGGCTCGCCTGGGCATCTCCCGACTCGTTTCCCTTGGGTCCCTGGGCATCTCCCTGATCTTCTTTGGCTCTCCTGGGGATCTCCCCACTCGTTTTCCCTTGGGTCGCCTGGGGATCTCCCACTCGTTTCCCTTGGGTCGCCTGGGGGATCTCCCGACTCGTTTCCCTTGCTCTCCTGGGGATCTCCTGGCTCTTCCTTGGCTCGCCTGGGCATCTCCCCGACCTCTCAGTGCATTTTTTAAATCCCCCATACCTCGTTGGTTTCTCAGCTCTTTTTGTGCTCGTCTGAGCCCTCTTGGGTCGTCCGAGTCCACTTTTGGGTCACTGCTTTCTCAAAGTGTCCACTCTCTCTAACACGCACCAAAGGCCAACACCACTGCAGTTTAAACCGTAATATACAAAATTCCGCTATGTATCGTTCTCTCTCACAGTGCTGAGGAGCGTGATATTGATTGTGTGTGTGTGTGTGTGTACTCACCTATTTGTACTCACCTATTTGTGGTTGCAGGGGTCGATTCACAGCTCCTGGCCCCGCCTCTTCGCTGATTGCTACTAGGTCCTCTCTCTCCCTGCCCCATGAGCTCTATCATACCTCGCCTTAAAACTATGTATTGTTCCTGCCTCCACTACATCACTTTCTAGTCTATTCCATGGCCTGACTACTCTATGACTGAAGAAATACTTCCTAACATCCCTTTGATTCATCTGAGTCTTCAACTTCCAATTTTTGACCTCTTGGTCTGTGTCCCATCTCTGGAACATTCCGTCTTTTTTCCACCTCGTCTATTCCCGCGCAGTATTTATATGTCGTTAACATGTCTCCCTGACCCTCCTGTCCTCCATGCGTCAGGCCGATTTCCCTCAACCTTTCTTAATAGGAAAAATCCCCGTAGCTCTGGACTAGTCTTGTTGCAACCTTTGCACTTTCTCTAATTTCCCTTTACGTGCTTGACTAGGTGTGGATTCCAAACTGGTTGCTACATACTCCAGTATGGCCTGACGTAGATGGTATACAGAGTCTTAAACGAATCCTTACTGAGTTTTCGGAACGCTATTCGTAGGTTTGCCAGGGCCCCGTATGCTTTCAGCAGTTATCTGATTGATGTGCGCCTCAGGAGATAGCCGGTGTTAAACTCACCCCCAGATCTTTTTCCTTGAGTGAGGTTTGCAGTCTTTGGCCATCTAAACTATATTGTGTCTGCGGTCTTCTTTTCCCTTCCCCAATCTTCATGACTTTGCATTTGGCAGGGTTAAATTCAAGGAGCCAGTTGCTGGACCAGGCTTGTAGCCTGTCCAGGTTCTTTGTAGTCCTGCCTGATCCTCGTCCGATTTGATTCTTCTCATTAACTTCACATCATCTGCAAACAAGGACACTTCTGAGTCTATCCTTCCGTTATGTCGTTCACATATACCAAGAACAGCACAGGTCCTAGGACTGACCCCTGTGGAACCCCGCTTGTCACAGCGCCCACTCTGACACCTCGTCGCGTACCATGACTCGTTGTTGCCTCCCTGTCAGATATTCTCTGATCCATTGCAGTGCCTTTCCTGTTATGTGTGCCTGGTCCTCTAGCTTTTGCAGTAACCTCTTGTGAGGAACTGTGTCGAAGGCCTTCTTGCAGTCCAAAAATATGCAGTCGATCCACCCCCCTCTCTCTCTTGTCTTACTTCTGTCACCTTGTCATAAAACTAGTAGGTTTGTGACACAGGATTTTCCTTCCCTGATACCGTGCTGGTTGTCAATTATACACTTGTTTCTTTCCAGGTGCCCCACCACTCTCCTCCTGATGATCTTCTCCATGACCTTGCATACTATACACGTTAGTGATACAGGTCTGTAGTTTAGTGCCTCATGTCTGTCTCCCTTTTTAAAAATTGGGACTACATTTGCCATTTTCCATACCTCAGGGAGTTGCCCATTTTCAAATGATGTGTTGAAGGTCTTTGTTAATGGCTCACACAATATCTCTGCTCCCTCTTTAAGGACCCATGGAGAGATGTTGTCTGGTCCCACCGCCTTTGAGGTGTCAAGTTCGCATAGCAGCTTCTTCACCTCCTCCTTGGTTATATGTACCTCATCCAGCACTTGCTGGTGTGCCCTCCTGTTCTGATTTCTTGGAGTCCTACTGGTTTCCACTGTAAATACCTCTTTAAATCTTGTGTTGAGCTCCTGACAAACCTCTCGGTCGTTTCTTGTGAATTCCCCATCACCCTTCCTCAGTCTGATTACCTGGTCCTTGACTGTTGTTTTCCTCCTGATGTGGCTGTACAACAGCTTCGGGTCCAGTCTTTACTTTTGATGCTATGTCATTTTCATATTGTCTCTGAGCCTCCCTTCTTATCTGTGCATATTCGTTTCTGGCTCTTCGGCTGATTTCTTTATTTTCCATTCTTTTCCATTCTCTATTACACCTAGTTTTTGCCTCCCTACACCTTTGGGTGAACCAAGGACTCGTTCTGTTCTTCCCATTATTTCTGTTTCCCTTGGGAACAAACCTCTCCTCTGCCTTCTTGCATTTTGTTGCTACATAGTCCATCATTTCTTGTACTGGTTTTCCTGTCGGTTCCCTCTCTCACTGAATGTCTTGAAGGAAGTTCCTCATGCCTGAGTAGTTCCCCCTTTTGTAGTTTGTTTTTTTCCCAGCCTATTCCTGCTACTCTCTCCACTTGGAGCTCAACTATGTAGTCGAAGCACAGAACCACATGATCACTAGCTCCCAGGGGCCTTTCCTACATGATACCCTCGATGTCCGAACTACTCATGGTGAATACAAGGTCCAACCTTGCTGTTCATCCTCTCCCTCTCTCTCTGGTAGTGTCTCTAACATGTTGATGCATGAGGTTTCCAGTACCACATCCATCATCTTGGCTCTCCATGTTTCGGGACCCCCATTGGGCTCCAGGTTTTCCCAGTCAATCTCCTTGTGATTGAAATCACCCATAACTAGTAACTTTGCTCCCCCCATGTGCGCTCTCTTGGCCACCTCGGCTAGTGTGTCGATCATTGCTCTGTTGCTCTCATCGTATTCTTCTCTTGGCCTCCTGCAGTTCTGTGGTGGGTTGTACATTACTGCAATTATCACCTTATGTCCCTCAGACTGGATTGTTCCTACTAAGTAGTCTCTTTCGCCCGTGCCATCCATTCCTTCCATTTTCTCAAAACCCCACTGGTTTTTAATGAGCAGTGCAACTCC